GAGCTGAAAATTTTATTACAGACACTAGAAACTGTTTGGAGTGAATATCTTTGTATTCTTTTTCTATAAAATCTACTCAAAAATTAGAAAAATACCTATCCCACACAGTGTATAGAAAGTATGAAAATTCAATTGAATATATGCTGAAAATGAGAGTCAAACTTACAGTGATTACAGAATTTTTATCGCTTTATTCAAATATATTTATGTTAAGAAAAATCTTTATAGATATTTTTAATAATTAACATAGTTTATTTTTAGCTTGTAAGATATTATTATAATAAGATGAAGACAATACATGATTCATAATTATAAACTACAATAATTGATTGAGAATGAATATTAGTTGCGTTCTTACTTCCGAAACATGAGTAACTAGAATTTATGTAGACTTGATCCGTATGAAACGGTTGTATTTCCTAAAAACTCATATATGAAAAAAATTTACAAAATTTTCGATCTTTTCTATAGAGTTAAGAAAAATTTTACTACAGGTTAGAGAAATCGAATAATGTACTGTTGATCTAAAATTTTTCGTCAATATAATGGTTTCCTTCTTTCAATATTTAATTAAATTAGAACTACGTCGTTCAATTTTTCTCATAATACTATATTCTATCATAACAATCCTGCAAACCTATTGTAACACTATAGAGAAACCTGATGAATTCGATAAGTTTTTTTTTTTTTTGAGATTATTTGAACTTCAAAGTCTTCTTGACAAGCCTAGGTAATGAAGTGAAAAACTGATGAATTACTGTAAGAGATTCTTTCGTCAATTATATGCAAGTTAATAATTGTAAAACAATATTTTCTTTTCTATTGAATTTATTTATCTTATTATCATAAATACAATACTTAAGAAAAAAAAAAGAAAATTTTCGATGATATAAATCAAAATTATAAGTCTATATAATATGATCATATTATTCACCCCACTATTTTAAGATGAAAATAAATATTTTCTTTTAATTTTATCAAAGAAAAAAAGAAATGAAACTTAAGTCAATATGTCTGTAATAAATATTAACAAATATAAAATTTCTAGATTTGTTCACCTGAAATCAATGTAATTTTTACATTTAACACAGCTACTAATTACAGAAAAAAAATAGGTAAATCTTTTTACCTCATGATGCATTATACGATCAGCTGATTGTTGCAATTGACAAAATTCACAAGGAATAAGTGTTTCTGACGTTCTTCGAACATCATCCGTAGACGATCTATCACTAAAACAAAAAATTCATTTTTTTGTTCTCTTTTTTTTTTTGTATAAAATTCTCACTCGACTGGTGTTGTTGGTCCGAATACAGCATCATTATCATCATCATCATCAGATAAATTTGATGAAGTCTAGAAAAAAAAGAAAACAAACTAAAAGTCCATATGAATTCATAAAGGTTTTACATACCACTGAAGACACATGTGTATTATGGGGACTATAATGATAAGCACTATTACTACGCATGAAATTTGCAGTAAAATCTCGTGCTTGACTTATTTTTCTTTCGATCTTTTTTAAAGATCTTCGCATTTGTCGTTTCATTTTTCAAGGCCAAAGAAAAAAAAGTACGATGTACAAAAAAAAAATAAATAAATAAAAATAAAACGCGTCAAATCAAGACTGCGAATAATTCAAATTATTCATTAAAATAAAACGAGATGTCTTGTTTTTACAGAGAGGAAGAAAGAGAACGCAGGGAATTTTTTTCGACTCTCATGACGTCATTCTTATTCAATAAGCGTATGACGAAAGTCTAATATCATAAGAAGAAAAAGAAAAGAAAGATTTGTGCCAATGAAAAAGGTCATACGTTTTTTTCTTTATCTCATAGAAAAATCTTTCTGAATGGTATAGCTTCTAGGCAAAAAAAGAAATTAAAACATCTATTTTTTCTTTCTTATTGATGCTCGTTAATATATGGAAATTTTGAAGTATGACTCGTTTTTAAAAGAAATCTTATGACGGTATGTTATCGTAAAGATGATGTAAATCAATCAAACAAAGATTTATTTTATAAAATAAAAAAAAAGGACGTCAAACGAAAATAGAAGCAAATATTACTAATCAATGTAATATTCAAGGACTATGCCACCTACATTTGTTGCTGTTGTTGTTGTTGTTGTTTTTTTTGCAGAGAATAAAAGAAATACGCAACGCCCTCTATTGGTTTGTACATTTAGTAGCACTTTTTCTTCAGTAAAGACAAAGGATGATTGTTGAAGAAAATTTATTAGATAATATCTTGATTTTTTTATTAATTTCATTTCTTTCATATGTTCAGATATAATTACGGTAGTGTTATTGAAACTTCTACATTAGAACAAAATCCTTATGCTAAAATTTGAAAATGATACGTCAAGCTCTTATCTATTTAGCACTTTGTCATTATTTTGAAACTTATCTTGGAAAGATGATGACATACCTCATCTTTTCTTTCTCGCAGACATTCATTTAACGCATATATATTTTCTATTCAATAGAATATCATATGTCCTGTGATTAATTAAGTTCTTCAGCATTATCATTGTGTCATTCTGATCTTAGCTTTATTTATATATGATAAGATTTAATTTTATTAATGTAGAATTCTCAAGAAAATTGATCGACTCAATATTATTTGAGTCTATTTTTTTGTTTCAAATGTTCAAACAAAATTTCGGAAGTGATATTGATCCTTCATTGACTTATATTATTTACTTTCCTTTCTCATTATCAATAGGAAATCAAAGAAAACAATAGAATTCATTTAACTATGGATGAGAAACATTCTTACATATCGGATGTATTCAACATTTTTTCTTTACAAACAATATCAAATTTACAAATCGATTATATAAACATTTTTTGTTTTAAATGATATTTAATCAATATATATATATATAAATAATTTCATAAGTCTTTGAAATAAATGTCATATGTAACCCTAAAGTAAAATAATTATAGAAAGTGTTAACAGAGATCGTTTCAGTTGATGAACTGCAACGATAAACAAACAAGTACAACACGTGTGCCTATTATCATAATGATTTCTTGTTTTATGTGCTTGCACATATGCACAGCTAATTGGTCCCACACATATATATATTCTTTTTTTTTTTTTTTTCGATAAACATTCATTCTCCCTTGTGCGCATTTTATTGCATCATAGATATGTAGATCTGTTAGATTTCTTATTATAATATTCCTTTGTTTTCGTTTTTATAATATATCAAATTCTATATTAGTCAAAATAAATGAAACTATTTTTTTTCTATTGTATAGTTTTAATACATTCGACCGAGCGCGATTGTATTCATTATGATATCACATATGAACATCACCCAAAGCAAATGAAGACGATGGGTGGGATTATGAATCTTCTCATTGAATGCATGTATTGTTTGTTCAGAGACAAAATCAAGGGTACTTTGATCCGTTTCGTATTTGACACTCGCTTGCCATACAAACACACGTTCAATCAATAATAGAGGAAAAAGAAAAGCTCAATAGGGGTACAACACAACAAATAAAACGTATATGAACTCTTCATTGATAGGCACAAAAACGAGAGACAGGGAGAAAGAGAAACGACTTTTCTTCTCTGTCTCTCTCTTCCTCTGCTTTTTTTTCTCTTTCTCTTCCGGAGAAAAAAAAAAGAAGATCACAATGTATGTATGTATATATGTAATCATAGTGTCTTGTCGAAGATCAATTAACTAGTTACTGGTCAACGAGTCATTCGGATGTCGGTCAAGTGTTGTCTTGTCTATTTCAATTGACGTAATGGAATGATCGTAGTAATCATACTTGTTTGTATTATATCAACAATAATATCTTCTTCATCTGAAGTAACAAATTCAACAAATCTTCCACAAGCAATTATAATTGGTGTAAAAAAGTGTGGTACACGAGCTTTATTAAAATTCCTATCTATACATCCAGCTATAGCTGTTTCATCGACAGAAATTCATTTTTTTGATTCACCAAAAAATTTTCAACACGGTCTTAATTGGTATCGGTATGTAAATTTTAAGTTTCTTTTGCTTAACTTTACTATAGAGATTATTAGTTGAAACAACAGATAGATTAAAGTCATAGTCTCAAGAGTTTAGATGTGAGCGCGTCTATTCTTTCAAGTGCACATATGCGCATTCGTAAGAGATGGGACGTATAAAATATACTAGTGAATCTATTCAAGCATGCATAATGATCTCTATCATTAGAGAGAGCAAGAATGACAGTCACTACACTAACATCAATAATTTACTTGAGTAAAATATTCGGTAACATTCCTAGCATGAAATCGATTTTTCTTTTTTTACACTATTTCTGTACATTAAAATATATAAAATAGTACGAATGAATAAAAATGATCTTGCGTGTTTCATTCTATGTAATCGAAACTTCCCTGCAGGCTTACTTCTATTTATTATATACTATATAGAATAAAGAATAAAAATTGATATGGCACGCGAACATAGAGTTTTTATGTAAAATAGATTGCGCAGATGTGCCCTTTTTGATCGCATCAGGTGGGCGGCAAATTTTAATTGAAAAAAACAAAAAAAAAAAAAGAAAAGAAGCTCATTCAATCGGAAAATAGAAAAGGATAAAGTATATAATAGATCCATATACACACGAAAACTAAAAGCATTCAATTAGAAAAAATTTTTTCATATAGTTCTGGATTCTTGATATGTGAGAAGGTAAAAATCGAAATGTTAGAATTGAGTCAAAGAAAGATCCGATTCTTATCTAAAATTACCATGAAACTGTAAAAAAAAATTGGTAGGAAGTTAAACATCGAGCGAGAAGATGCACTCGGGACACTTTAGATAATGAAGTGCTGCTGAGTCGCCTTCATTCTCTTCCCAAAAAATCATTATCTTGAGAAATGTGACATTTATCTTTTTTGTTTCTTGTAATTTAAAGTTTTGAACAGATCTTTGAATATCTATGCATTCACAATCCACTCGAAAAATAACATGAGATTTTGATTACTTTCAATGATCTTTTTCCGATTTCAATCTAATCACTTGATTTCCAGATGAATTATTTTCATAGTAAAAAAGAAATAAAGGAATTAGTGTAATTTATTATTGACTGTTCGCAACAGGAGGTCAATACTGAAATTGATCAGAGAAAGAGGAGAAAAAAAGGTGCGCCGATGCGAATAGGAAACATTCGGTTCACTTCCTTGTCTTTATCTTATCATCATCACAGTATGACGTCTCATATATCTATACATATATGTTGTTGCTTCTGTTTTCTCATTTATCATGTCTATATACATGCCATGATCATAATCGTATAATTGAACGATTACACCTTAAGACAAAAAAAAAACGTGTTGAATGATTAATGAGTTTAGTTATTTGGTTTTTATTTTTATTTTTATTTTAGAAATCAAATGCCAATAAATAAAAATAGTCAATATTTAACTATAGAAAAAACTCCACATTATTTTATTGATAGAAAAACTCCAGGACGTATATTTCATTTATTACCTAATATAAAATTAATATTAATTGTACGAGATCCAATTATACGAGCTATAAGTGATTATGTACAAATAAAAAGTCGTCATGAATATTATCCAACATTTGATGAATTTATATCAATGAAAAATTTTACTCATTGGACACCAATTAAAATTGGTTGTTATGTTATATATCTTCGTCGTTGGTTAAAATATTTTTCATTAGAACAAATACATTTTGTTAATGGTGAAAATTTAATTCAACATCCATGGGAAGAACTTGAATATGTACAAAAATTTTTAAATATATCAAATCATATTCAACAAGAACATTTTTATTTTAATTTAAATAAACGTGGTTTTCCTTGTATAAAACAACCAAATGGATGTTTAGGTTCATCAAAAGGTCGACAACATCCATTAATATCAAATGAAACTTATGAAAAATTAAAAAATTTATATTCAACATGTAATCAACAATTTAAACAACTTGCTCAAATTAATTTTTCTTGGCTTTAATGAAACAATCAAAAACAAAAAAAATAACATATTAGATATATGAAAGTGATGTAGAAATTTCAAAAATATTAATTATTTGTTATTTTTAAATATAAAATAAAAGATACATAAATAAGAAAGAATTATTTTTATTTCTTGATAATTATCAATGTTATTCTAAAAATAATTTGTTATTAAGAGATTTTTTTGATAGCAATTAATTTATTCACTTGAATTATCTTCATAGTATTATTATTATTATAACAATTGATATTCATCTCTATATGCGTGCGCTTATTTGCACATCACACACTTTATCATTCACAACATTAGACAATATGAACTCAAATGAATCCTTTTCGAATGATTAGTTTCATGAATTGCAAGTGTCAAATAAAATTATGTGTTCAATTTTATTCAATCATTCGAATGAACATTGAGGTGACAAAATAGATGACGAGAGGCTATATGTACCATCTGCGTATTTGAAAGAAAATAACATGTATCT